GACTTCCTCAGGCTCAGGTTTAAGCAAACATTCATCAGAAGGTGTGTCAGAATCCGAAAAGTCATTGATTTCTGCTTCTCGTCTTGCATATTCCGAATGAAATCCAGATGTTTTAACTTCACCATAATCAACATAGTCTTGTAAATCATAACTTGACTGAGTCCGTAATTTGTATTCTTGTAGCTGTATAACTGGTGAAAAATCTATCAAATCCATCAAGGCTTCAGTAATTCTTAGTCTTGGTATTTCAGAAAGATGCTCAGGCTGAATATTACCAAATGTCTCTCTCATAGACATAATCTTGTCAGCTGTGACATTTCCAACACCAGGTAACAATAATAATTCTTCATAAGTACAGCTATTAATCTTTGTACGCTCCTTCTGAAAAGCTAAGTCTGCCATTATGTTATTATAACACAAATACAATTCAAATTAATCACTGGTTGCTGAACCAGGAAAAAAAATTAATGTGTATGTGCTATGTGGCTAACCACACAAAAAAACGGCTAATTTTCTCCAAATTGCTCTGATAACGGCTAATTTGTCTAATTTCTACACAAAACGGCTAATTTTAGCAAAACGTAAAACAATTTTCGAAAATAAATTCTGTAATTAACGCAAGTTTTTATGCTTATATTATCTCCGTGTTCAAACACTTCATAATATACCAAATATAGCAATATGAACTTCGCAATTACACGTGATGTAATCACTTCTGTGTCTCGATTCAAATCGTACTTTTTAACACAGGAAACCCTGCTCGCCAAGCGCCAGTGATGTGATTTCCGAGTATTATCACTCAATACTAATACTTCTAATACAATGAAGTGCTCCTAATTGTACTAACTTACCAAATATACTCTGATACTCTCTGGTTAAGTTCTAGTACAGGCGTTCTCATTCCCGCCAATACGCCAACTCTCGTTACCTGGTAACTATCTGAGATCTTATCCTGAGCTGGGTAGTTTACCATGGATCATTCCGGGAACCGGGCTACGCGGTATATCTAACTACCGTACTGTCTACATAGTAATGTCACGTCCATTATACCATATTACACAACAAGTATTTGTCTAACATCTTGCACACTGTAATCAATAGAGAACTGCTGAAATGGACAGACATTTTCAGAACGATGAGATCTACCAACCATTTATTTTAACAAAAACTGTAAGACGACTCCTTAAATGAGTTGTTTCCCTTAAATGATATTTTCGTCTATTATTTTAAAAACTAAAATAGATAGAGAGAAACTTAAAGTTTTGAAAGTTAAAATGATCTACAAATTAATAAGACAAGAAGGAAATAGTCCATCGACTCAATATAAAAGAATTAACAAGTTTTGCATGTTTTGTGTTTTTGCTCGTTATCTTAAAAACTATAATTGAGAGAAGCTTAAAAGGGGCACTAGCTGTGTGATTTAGTCAAACATTAGAATACAATTAATTTTGTTTCAGACATTTATAAAAATGGAATACTGAAATGATATTTTCGTTATTAGTAGTCACTTTGATTTAATTTGATAAATTAACATCGCTAATGTATTATTGACTTGCAAGTCAATATTTCAACCTTCTTTCAATCTATATTCCAGTAATCCTCACCTGACCTTTATCTTAAAATTGGTTATACATGCGCTAAGTGTGTTCAGTTATTAAAATGAAATTGAAAAAGAAAAGCACTTCTTTTTCCGTTCTCTAACCTTAGTTTGCCAAAACCAAATGTAATGAAACTTATACATAAAGCTTATGACCACAAAACACAGATCAACTTTTAATTTTGGTCACTTTTACCGTTCTAGAGTTATGCCCCTTTATAAATGAAAAAAAAGCTGAATTCTTCGTTTCTGTTCTCTTGCTTAAGTTTGACTCAACCAATTGTTATGAAACTTATACGCAATGCTTATTACCACAAAACTCAGATCAAGTAGTACCAGTTTTTTTATACCATTCTTTGAGTTATGTCCCTTTATGACATTATATGCAAGCGAGGGCATCATCTGTGTCCTATGGACACATTACCCATTTATTACAGTTAACATTCAGATTTAATCTGATGTTTAAGTTTTTTAGTCATCAATTAGTATTTCAACCTTCGTGGAATTTTTATGAAAATTGGACAAGGTTATTTATGAGAAAGATAGATATAGATTAGACCGTTAGAATATTATATAGAGGAGATTATATGTATAGATAATTAATTGATTGATTATGGTGTTAAACACCACTTCAGCACTATTGGCTATATCAAGGTGGCAAACTACTATTGGTTGTTGAAGCCAGTCTAGAGTTCCAGGACAGAAAAAAACTGACATTGAAATAGGTGACTACTTCTGCTAGATTGAGCATAAATGTTATCTTCCTACATCTAGTTTTTCATCAAGTATAAATAAGAAAGTTATTCCTTGTTATCAGTATTTTCTTTTGCATATTGTCTTTTCTTTAGATAAATTTGATTACTATCAATGCTTTAATTTTATATTTAAGAAGGAATGACTTCACACAGACAAGAAATTGTGACGCATCAACATGCATTATTTCATTTAGTGAACATGTTAAACTGTGCGCTGGAATGCAAATTCCAATTTATAGATTATTTCCGCTTTATCAATGTTCAAATGGTACAATGGGGCCCAATAAATACACAAGAAAAACAATTAATTGATAAATTCAATCCATAACTGAATTCTTTTAAGTTTAGAAGAAATTGATTGAATCATGATCAATATATAGTTTTATTACAATCGTCATTCTAATTATGTCCCTTTTAGCGGGATGACGTTCTGTGTTGCTTAGCTTTGTCGATAACATCTTCAAGCTTTTAACAGTTTGTCATGATTATCTTGCAAGAGTGAAACCAGGTTGAAAATCTTTGTGATTTATATGAATAAAAGTTAAGTGCATTCTCATCTTTACCTTTTTATTATAAATGTAATGTGATTGTTTGGAATGTTACAAACTTTTCTACATGTATGTATATTTATATATATTTAGAAAATGTTCAACACTACAAGATCTACAAAAATGCCACTAAATGAAATTTATTAAGTGCGTAGAATGAAACTACTTGATCAATGACATTTTGCATACAGTTGCATTTATGTCAGTAGATATCGATTTGACAATTATGAGCAACACGACGGGTGACACATGTGGAGCAGGATCTGCTTACCCTTCCGGACCACCTGAGGTCACACCCAGTTTTTGGTGGGGTTCGTGTTGCTTAGTCTTTATTTTTCTATGATGTGTTTTGTGTACTATTGTTTGTTTGTATTTTTCATTTTTTAGCCATGGCGTTGTCAGTTTATTTTCAATATTTGAGTTTGAATGTACCTCTGGTATCTCGCGCCCCTCTTTTAAGGCCCTCCCCCATTAACTTGAATGAATTACCCATTTTTAATGTTAAATTTTCTGCTAATGTTAGTTTGATAGGATCTAATTGAGATATATCAATGATATTTTCTATAAAGTTCCATTACTATCAGTACATTTCATTTTGTTGACCAATTCGAGGCTCTGCCCATTAGTTCATGATCCATAGGCAAACCCAATTAATAGTTAAGGCGACAATAGTTTAACTATGTTCAAATCTAATAAGTTTTAAAAAAAACAATTTGTTTTTGTACTTATATGAAACAAAACTCATTCAGAACCTTCTGAAAGACAAAAAGAAAAAAAACAACTTGCGAACTTGTTTAATTTTAATTTCAGATATACTGATGACGTCCTATCACTGAATAACCCATATTTCAGTCAATACTTGCATTTCATATATCCTATTGAACGTGAAGTTAAGGAATTATTACTACTGATACTAGAAGGACTGCTTCATACCTTGATCTTTTCCTCAATATTGACACAGATGGACGACTTCACGCTAAAATCTATGACAAACGGGATGATTTCAACTTTCCAATTATCAATTTCCCGTTTATCAGCAGTAACATACCCTCTGCCCGTCGTATGGTGTTTACATATCTCAATTAATACGCTATGCTTGTGCGAGTTCCCCCTATACGGACTTCATATACAGGAGTGTGGTCTTTACGCAGAAACTGCTCCAACAGAGGTATGAGGAGGAAAGATTAAAAATGACACTCCGCAAATTTTATGAACACCATCACGAATTGGTTGATCTATACAATATGTCTGTATCTCAACTAACGAACGGAATTTTTTACCACGTCTTAGATTGTGGTTTCATATGATAGGTTACTTCCACAAATATATGATTTCAGGTACTTTTACATGACAGTGCAAAAGTGGCTACCTACAGTTTATAGAAGGTCACTTCCGGTTGACCTATTAAACTCATCGCGGCATTAATTTGTAGCAATATAGCAATATGAAGTTATTAAAAAGATATACTATAACGTCAATTTATTTAAAACCCGAAAAAGTAATCAGAGCTAAGAAGAGGGAGAAATATTTTTGAATTCTAAATGATTTCAAAAATCTAATTGCAACAATATCCAAGCCAGTTCCATAAATTCATTTTGTAATTTTGTTTGCTATAACTTATAAAGTTTTAATGGATTGAAATAAACAACGGTCTAACTATAGCCATATGCACTCGGTACGCGTTTTAAAATGCGTTTTACATAAAACTGTTTGCCCAACATATATTAAAAAAATGTATAATTGGGTTTTTTTTTTCACAATACAGCCCCGTTTGTAATGTGAAGATCTGTACGTTTGTTGATTTCCATAATTAATCCAACCTTGGTCATTAAAAATACATACTGTTACATTATTGTTTATGCAAAATAACGTGACAATTTCAATCAGTACCAGAACGACAGTGTTTTGTTGTTTACGTATAATGGATATACGCTCAATGTAAAAAATACTGAAATCATTTTAAAATATTACAGACGCTTTTGTTGGTTTTTTTTAGCATATTTAATTGGTGTGCACCATTATATCTTTAAATAAGTGAACAGGTAAAATAAAGGTCACAGACTTCATGGTTGAGTATTTCAGAATGACAAACACCGGGGTCCGTTTTCATTTAAATACCGATTACATAACTTTACATTTTTAGTTCTATAGGTTTTTCGCGGAAGAGTTAATGAAAATTACTAAAAAAAACTGTCCAGAATATCTACTAGCAAACAGTAAGTTAAAATAACAAAATTAAACAATACGCCGAACATCGAAATCTTGATTAATAATCTAATATCAAATGTAACATTTCTATTCTATTTTCCAGATGAGACTAGTTATTCGTGATAATGTTGATCAAGTCAGCGAATGGACAGCTAAATACATCACGCGTAGAATTAAAGATTTTAATCCTGGACCAGATAAATACTTCACATTAGGTTTACCTACAGGTAAATTATATAATTTAGCAACAAAGTCGTATGATATTGGCCTTAACCTTATTATTTTCTGTTTTAAGTCATAATATATTTTGTCATATAATACCAACACAATCTTATATTGATCAACAACATACACTTTTAGCGCTTGACAGAGTGCATTTTTTCAGCAAATAATAAAATGGGGAACCATGCCTCAATGTAATAGATGAGTGAACTAAAGGACCTTTGAAATACCTCTAATTTGGTTAATCTTGAAAGAGAAATATGGTAATGAAATTTTACATGTTATGCTTGTGATAGTGAGTGATTCACCCAGAAATACCTCTCTGTATATATACAACAGGAAGTATATGATTTATAGGTTACATTGTAGTTATTCAGAATATATTCACTCATAATTAACAGAATTTTTCCTTTTTCACTGTGATTCTCTACATTACACGAAAGTTGATTCGAACTGTATAGTCGTATAAGCAAATATTTCTGATTTAGAATTCAGCGTTATAATTGTGCATCAAATAAATAAAAGTTTTTTGATTCCATCAATTGTATTTCGTTATCTAATCTTTAATCTGGAGTTAGTTTAAAAAAATGGTGTAAGGGGTAATTGTTTTGTAAACAAACATGATATTGATTCACCGCCAAGGCAAAGGCACAAATTAAAATCTTTGCGTTACTCATATTTGAACAACTTATTTTACATATTTCTCAATAATGATATAATATAGGTTATTTTTCCTAATTTGAAAACATGTCAAGTTAGGACTTCCACTGGGTAAATGCAACCGTTTCCATGACAAATAACCCATTAATATTACTAGTTAAATAAAATATTATAGTGTTATTAACTGGCTGTTTCTGTATTGGCCCTGTTATAGATTCGAGGTTAGCTGTATTGGACCCGAGACTCGAAGAGTCGAGGGCCAATACAGCAGATCGGGAATCTATAACAGGGCCAATACAGAAACAGCCAGTTCATAGCACTTTTATTAAATGTTTTTAATTCTTTTAATTAGAAAAAAAAACTACACATGAACTAAGAAACTAGCTGTGAAGAAGATACAGAATTTCATATCTTAACTTGTCTTTTCGCATTCACGTCCATGGATTTTTTGTCAACATTGTCAGATGTAATTTCTTATTACTCGTCCAAGTACTTAATGTTATGCTATAACAATTCATTTTATCTAGCAAATATAAAGTAGCTGGGAAGAATAAATCAGACAGTTTTACTATTCTTACTCTTGGATCGTCTGCGTTCTGATGATTGATGAACGGAAATGAAACAGTGTCAATAATCGAAAGTCGTACTCGAAAAGGTCTTTGCTGGTAGTAAGACCCGTCACAGCCAGCTGGCTGGGAAACTGGGCAGGCAAATACTCACATTAAATCTGTACCGATACAGTATTTTAAATGTCCTCCTTTACACAATAACCCTTGGTGGTGCTCCTACTAAAGGACGAAGATACAGAACATACATACATACAAAGTGCTCAAATATAGTTATGGTCTAAGATTAGGTCGAAATTACACGTCACATAAAACTGGTTTTTCTTTCATCTCTTCAATTTCTTATTCTAAAATTGCCAACCTATGTTTCGAATATATTTATTACCATTTCCCTAACTATAATATAAAACAATTACAACGTAAATCCATATAACATAGTATAAAATAACATTATAAATATTAATCCGGATCTTAATCAAAAGTAATTATGGAACTAGATTGTGCTTTATGGCTTAACACCAATAAAGCTGCTGATGTGAGTTGACCGTTGTCTGAACTTTTAAGATGTTTTATTAACTTTCCTGGACATAGGAAGGTCCATTTGGCCACAGCTGAAGTTTTATTGCACAGATACGTTCAATATTTTGTTAAAGTATTTATTTGACATGTTTGAAATATCCTACGCTTTGAAAATGTATAGAACAGTTAAACAATAATTTTGTATAAAATAGTTTACAGAGTAGAAATTACATACATTAACTAATAAACTATACGAAATAAAATAAACTGCATTTTTCTATTACAATAGAAATATTTTCGTTTTAAGACTTCGAGATGTTACAAAACACTGAACATCATTTTAACTTTTTATTTTATGATTTCAAGTTGAAAAAATATGATACAAATGTTTTTTGCATAACGATACGTTCAAATTTAAGTAAGGCGTAAGAAAATTTAAACCGGAAGTGAACGTCCCGTATTAGCCCATGGACCAATACGGCTTTTTCAGTATTGGCCCCCGTCTTGGCCCAGTCCGAAAAGCAATGTTAACTCTTGATTCATATCGATAGGGCAACGTCATCAGTATTGCGCATGCTGATTTATCCGTACTAGGGCTGATTTTCTCGTATCATTTAATAACATGTTTTACTTGCGGTACTTAAGGAGATAATTTGTAATTGTACATAACGACGTTTATTAAGGATGAATATATTCTACCAATAAAAGTAAGAAACTCAAACTGAGATTCGATCGCCACTGGTGAGTCTTTTGTAGACGAAACCTGCGTCTGGCGTACAATAGTTAAAACCGCGATCTATGATAAATTTAACATAAGCAACACGACGGGTGCCACATGTGGAGCAGGATCTGCTTACCCTTCCGGAGCACCTGAGATCACCCCCAGTTTTTGGTGGGGTTCGTGTTGCTTAGTCTTTAGTTTTCTATGTTGTGTCATCTGTACTATTATTTGTCTGTTTGTCTTTTTATTTTTGGCCATGGCGTTGTCAGTTTGTTTTCGATCTATGAGTTTGACTGTCCCTCTGGTATCTTTCGTCCCTCTTTTAATATTAACCAGAAAAAAACCAATCAAAATTTAAGCATTAGATTTAATGTTTCGAGCACACGTTTTGCAATTTGAGTATTGAGTAAAGTTGTATGACTCAAAGGCATGGTCTAATATAGTTTTGAAAATCTAACGCCTGTTAAAAAAAACTCATCAAATGTACAAGGCTTATAACAGTATGTATGCATGGATTTACCTTTCTCAGTCATTCCCACTACATGGTTGAATAAATTTTGATTGCCCATTTTGATTGACAGGTATTCTATTGAGCCAGGTAGGACAATATTTGTCTTTTAAGTAACAACTCATTAAACATACCATGCAGGTCTACAATTAAGTACATCAGACTCGCCTTTCAACTATACGACTCATCAGTGGCGCTCGATTAAGATCAATAACGATATTAAAGATCAGTTGTATAAAGAAAATCCTAGAAACGGTGCTAAATTTTGTTAAAGGAGACGTGACACGATTTAAAAAAAATTTTTTTTTTTATTAAATTAATAAATATTAGTCTTAAAACATGTTTTGTGCAATTTTGCTGGTCAAAACCTGATCGATCGGCATTTTAAAGGTCAAAGAATCCAGTGTTTGTCAAAATGAATGATTTTTAATTAGATAACGATCACGTGATCGTGCTTACGTCAGTGGTTACAAGCTGGGAAAATGTCTCTAGATAACTGGACGATGTCGATTCACTATGGACGGTATTGACAGCTCTTTTCCCGATTACTGACAAACTACATAGACCTCATCAATTTGAGCCATTGTGTGTGGAAAGGATATTAATTCTTCATGCGAAAAGTCCAACAACGACGATTTTTCAGACAAAAACGATCGGATTGTTACCATACAGATGGGGTTGTCTGATGAATAAATTCAATAAACCGCTTTCCTCATTTTTTTATTTAAATAAAACTACTTTTAATCATGATTGAAACTATAAATTTTATAATGATTGATGATCAAATTGTTTTTTTCTCTCTCTGTTACGATAATGTTGTAATAATGTGTGCGCCAGAAGCAGAAAAAAACAACACGAAAAAACGATAGTAAAAGTCAAATTAGGGGTACTTTTTTTTGTTTTTTGTTTGTTTTCGTTACGTAGAGACTTTTAATAGGTATAAACTATCACCTAAAGTTATGCTTATAATTTTTTTGGTTGGAAACCATACATCACGCCAAGGATTTGTATAGAGACAAATCCTTTATCACACTTTTTCTGCATTAGGATATTCAATTAACAATTTTATTACTCTCCCCCTTTTATGTAAACAATTCAATTCAATATTTTATTTACGTTTCACCATATGTATAAAATTAAACAATACAAAACATTTATTGGAGGCTGTTGTTTTAGTAATTAAATTGTGACACCTATAGCATACTTGACCAGGTGAAAGGTAAGAAGGCACCTGTATAGTGATTTAGTCACGTGTTATGTTATCTACCTTTTAAAACCAAATATTTTTTACGAAAAAATTACTCAAGTCTTATGTTGAAGTAATTAATATAGTTATATTACACTTCTAAAGTATGCAATTCCATCCAAACTCTTATAAATTAATCTAACTTCAAATTTAAGGAATTACAAAAAGTAAGTTCAAATTCACATATGTGCCTCCCCTCTCGTCCGAATATCATTCGAATATCATTTAGCAATCAATTTGTTTGTTACTACCAGCAAAATGCTTTCAAGAGTCCAGGAAAATATTCACAACACATAATGTTCTTTTTCAAAATATTTCTTCAAAAAGGGGTAATTTGAATAAATGTTAAATTTTCAATCGGACTGAGCATGAAAATGTTTGCATGAAACATACTTCAGTTTTCGAGAACATGAGTTATGTATAAGTTGTATTTGGCTTTGATCTAGCTTACAGTATTTGTGCGTTATCTCTATTGTTGTTACGTTTAAACTTAGTAGTTTCTGTACCTCGTACCGATCTTTTGAGTTAAACTGGTTTTTATAGTTCTTATGTAATGATGTAAGACCACTGTCACGTTATTTCGGGGGGGGGGGGGGGGGGGAGGGGTTGGCGCTCACGAACATATACCCCCCCCCCCCCCCGACTCATTTTGAATGTGACTGTCTTAAATCAGGAGCATGTAGATCAGTGGTTGTCGTTGGTTCATGTCTGTCAATTTTTTTCTGCGGGAATTATTTTGTTAGAAATAAGTGAGTTTCTCGTTTTCTCGTTAAAATTGTTTCACATTTCATGTTGAGAACTTTTATAGCCGAATGGGGTTTTCTCATTGTTGGAGGCCGTACTGTTATACCAAGTAATTGGTTCAAACGACACTTTCTTCATTAATTTTTTAGTTTCCATTTTAAAAAGAAATATTTTTCATCATATGAATCTTTACCAATTAGATAGTTGTCAATAATTATATTCGATATTCAATATAAGAATTTAAAGACTTATGATTCACATTCTCGTATCATTTCCTTGTTTGCTTTTTATGCTTTTACCTAATATTTTTTTATGAAGTTATAGACTTGCAAGCATACAGGAATATTACTTTTCCATCTCAAGAAGTCAATAAAAAAAAAGCATTTGTTATAAACCTTTTTATATCTGCATTTTCTTAAAAGCAATAAAAAAAGATCTATATACAGGTTGTCTACTTTAATTAGTTATCAGCACTGGTTTGGGTATTTAATTGGTTGTGCATAGGGTATTGTATGGTCGTACTACAGGTATTCATTAACCATCAGCCTAAGGTAGTTGTACCTGTATTACGGTCTAAACACCGCTCATGACCTCCTGAGTGCACTCAGGACATACAAAGTGCACTCAGGACATGAAATATATGTTTTAGTGAGTGGTGAAGGTATGCATTCGATAGATAATTTAATTCTTCATCTAATAATTTTTGTTTTGATAAAATCATTTTAACATTTAAGGAGTTATTGAAGTTTTCATCGGCATGCGCCGTTTTTGTGAAATATGTCAGGCATGACCGAGGATTATATTGAATGCCAATTATCAAGTTGATTAGGTCGTTTGATCTTTAATAATTAGGAGTGATTAGTGATGGTGCTAACCTCATACAAGTAAGCTTTATGTTCTATTCCAATCTCACCTGTGCCTTCGGCAAAACCAACATCCAGGATGTATACAAAGAGCTTATGAAGTAATATTGCGTAATAACTATATCTTATCAATCCCCCATGTGGCGTGACACCTGAAGCTTGCAACTTCAAACGAGACCCGAAATTGCGAAACTCAATCACCTGTACCGTACACCTGTGACCTATGATGATCTCATGGCATGGCACCCGAGACCCCAACTCTGGATTCCTCATGAAAGTGGGTGGAAAGAAGTGTAGTTAAACTGTTTGGGTTTGTTAAAAAGTCTCATCTTTAATTTACACCTTCAAAGTCCGCGTGTCATTCGAAAAACAGAAAATATCAGGTCAATATTCTTTTTAATTATATTGTTACTGTCATGCGTTTTGTTGGAGAATAATCGAAACTAAATTTGCGCTTTACCCATGTGTCATTATGAATGAAAGGAACCACTGACGTAGTAGCCTCGTTCTGAGTGACTTCCGGGATGGAAATATGCATATTTGACAGGTCGATAAATCGTTGCATTAAAATCTCATTAAAATACATATTTTACCAAATATTTGACACTTTTATTGCTATCGATGTATTTTTGGGGAAAGTTAGGTATAAATAAACATTTTGAAACACAAATTGAAAATCGTGTCATGTCTCCTTTAAGGTCATCTATACTTGGGGTATAAAAAAAATTTCAGATTTTCGATTTAAGATTCTATAAGTAATTTTGAAGAAAATGACTTCATCGATGATATTTCAAATCAGTACAGTAGAGCTGAATTTTGCGCTTGTGATACCATCCGAAACGAAACTTCTTGCAGCATTGACAATTAAGGACAAAGTAAAAATGTTTACATGTAGAATGGACCAACAGTACAATTTGTTATGTTAATATTCTAATGAGATGATTTTTCATTTACATTCTTGAGTATTGTCTATTAAACTTATCTTACAAGCAATGAAAGTTTTATTCTTGCATAGTATAATTTTTTTGTAGGTAGTACTTCATTAGGAACTTATAAAAAGTTGATAGAATTTATCCAACAAGGGAAGCTATCCTTCAAATATGTTAAGACATTCAATATGGATGAGTATGTAGGTAAGTTGTATCAAGTTATCTCCCCTTAATAGATATAAGAAGATGTGGTATGAGTGCCAATGAGACAACAGTCCATCCAAGTCAAAATTTATAAAAGTAAACCATTATAGGTCAAAGTACGGTTTAGGTTAATTTTTGAAATTTGATATGCAAAATGTTCATTAAGTTTTCCCTTTTATATTTGTGAAAACATTCTGTATTGATAAGTATGGAAATACATTACAAGTCACATCTCTATAGACATATGAGTATTACAGATATTGATTATTAATATTTAATCCGAAACCGAGCAGCACAATGAAATAAAAAGGCCGAAGAATATAAATTCATTTGTACAATATTTGTAATATTGGATAGGGGATATATATTAATGAGGTGGAAGTAATAAAACTGCTGCCATAATCACTGGCTGCGAATTGTTCCTTAACTGTATATTGAACATAGATTTGTATTTGGTGTAGTGTAGGCAAAACCTGGCGTCAATTACTTCAAACTGTAATAAATTAATTGACAATAACATTGTAACCATTTTCAAATAACATACAATTACCATTATCCCTTTTTTTCTCAAGTTATTAATTAGGTTCTCTGTTCATCCATTTTTATGTACACACTTAGTGAGTACTTCTGACTATTATCACAATTTGATGGTAAATCTTAAATTCATTTTATAATTTTAAACGATTATTTATTTCCAAAAATCAACACGACAAAAAAAACCAATACGGCTTACAGTCAAGGATTTGATATTGACTAGTTTATAGATAGTGTTTGGTTTCACGTTGAGTCGGTGACTCAATCGTAGAGACATCTAGTCAGGATTTGAATGATACACATGGTAAGGGAAAATGTACCATAAAGGAGGAGTGGTTTCATACCACTATTTAATTTGCCATACAGCCAGGCAGTACAATCTACTGTTAAACAAAACCTAAAACCCTTTGTCAGACCAACCACAACATCCTCAAAATCTTAAATAAATGCATGGTAGTTATACAAACTCACCACGCAGAATTTGGCATACAAAATCCAATGAAAGTTCAAAGATTTGTACAAAGTCCAGTTTACAGAACTTAAAAATGGGCGAATGGTACATGAAACGGAATGTCATTGAATGCACCAATACCATTCAATTAAAAAAAATAGCTACTCAAAGACTGTGGACTGGGACGTAAAATGCACTGTCCCTACTTTTCAATCACAATGAACTGTATAAATCTTAAATATATACTTATAAGGTCTTTCTAATTGTTCATGGAAAGAATTGCCTAAAATGTCTTTTTGCAACTATTCGATTTTTGACATGATTATTGAATTGTTATTTTTCAAAATTGATTAAATTTCTTATTGAATGATGAACAACAAAACAAGCGACCTAAAGATTTAGTATTCAAATTCAACAAATTTTATATATTCAGTTATGAATGATCTGTGAAATAAAGAGGAGATATTTCCAATATTCAATTCTTTTTTAAGGACACCACTTAAATAATAATGGTTGTCTTTCTTAGACTTTTTCACAAGAAAAATTGTTGTATAGATTGAAATTTAAACTTATCTATGAAAACTGGCTTTAAAATTTAATGTATGTATGTCAAGTCTGTGATAATCATTTGAAAAAATCTTTTCTCTGAAACCAAACACTGCAAGTGAGTTTTATCATATATAGTACTTGTTATTGACATATAAAAGACAGTTTTAAAATGATAAGATCAAAGTTTATATTTGCATTAAATTTGCTGTGTACATGGTACATTAAGTTAAACATGGAAGATAAAAACAATACTGACTGATATTTCAATTGTATCCATATCCTCCTTGCAGAAGATAATTATTTGAGGATAGTTGTACAGTACAATAATGTTATACATTCTTGATAAGAAAAAGTTGAGACTACTGGTAATTCTAAAGTATGCATAAATGGGGATTTGGTTTATAAGTCGAGACAACAACCCACAACTAAAGTAGCCGAAAACAAACATCTAGATCAACAATATGTCAAGAATAATAGAATGCCAGTCAAGGGTATCTAGAATATGTCGAGATAGATTCAGACATATTTAGATTGTCAAGAATCTGTCGACAAATATTAATACAGGTTGATAATATCTAGAATTTGTCGAGACTAATTCAAAGCAAATTATCAATGTCGAGGGTATGTCAAGACTTATTCAGACAAACTAGTAATGTCGAAAATTTGTCGAGACTTATCCAAAAACTTCGAGAATTCGTGATAATTATTATAATAAATGGTTCAAAATCTCAAAGATGTTACTGAAAATAAGGAATAAGATAATTTAATTACGTTTAAAGAGATATCTAAGAATGTTACAACGACGAGTTTAACTTCAAAAACTGAATAATACGATAAATGATACTGATGATACTTCGGCAGGTAAAGACAACTTAGGTTATATAATGTATAGACATCTATTAAAAATGGTATTATATTTTTATTTATGAATATTTATTCTTTCTTTGAAAATTTACACATACCAGCTGTCTGGCAAAAAACAATGTAACTAGCCTTTTGATGATTTTATATATTGAACACAAAGGTATCTGTAAACCAATTTTATAATTGTATATACAAAATCTTTTTTAACAATATGCCTGAAACCATGTATATTTTGATAAGGTTGCTGAAAAATATAATAATATATATCCGAACAGGCGTACAATACTCAAACTGGTGATCTCAATAAATTTAATCATCATTTTACTTGATCAAATATAACAATATATTATATTTATTGGAATAGTGTAAACGCTTAACCAGGTCTCACTAAAAATAAATAAATTTGAGAAATGTAAAAAAAAAAAACTTATTAGATACATAATGTACTATGTATCAATCATTAGTTTGAAACTAATATCAACATGATAAATAATGATACGTGAAAGCATTACTACCAGGAATATTTACAGAAAGGTAATTCTAAAAAAATATATATATATCACAGGAATTAAGTAGAGTATAAAACTCATTTTTAATAGTACATGTTATACTAATATGTAGCGATACTTTGTACATACCAATTTTAGGACGTTGTCATTTTCTCCCCGTGAAAAATGTATTGGAACTTCCTTTGAATACTTTTTTTGTTCGCTAGGCTTGTTTACTCTTTTATTTTGTCCTACTGCATCAATATTACAACATCTTACAACATCCCGTTATTCTACACCCCTTGTCTATTAAACGGGGAAGCTACAGCAAACTTTCCAAACAGAATAAAGATAAAATAACATTGGCATGTGACGTTAAATTTACAACATTCAATTAAATTTGTATTAAAAAGTATTATCTTCAAGTTTTACATTGCATTACGCATTAGGTTCTAAAAATCCATTCATCAATTTCCGTTATATCCAGTCATGCATTTGAAAATCTCCACATTCTCGAACTTTTTACTTTTACGTTAGTTTAACACACACAGATTAGCGGTGCAAACCAGTGGTCGCCACGGACCTGGTAGTCATGATATACTGGGTATGAAATATTGTTAAGGTTTGAGAAGTTTGTCTAATATGTTATCTTTTGAACATTGAAGACATCGACTGTTTTTAACAAATAAGCGGGTTACAGCACAAACTGGAACCCTGGTTAAGTACTTTAAAATTAGAATGTCCTTAATAATTACCTTTAATTTAGTTAATATTGATTTATTTATTTCATTATTATTTTTAATTGTATTCCAACAATTGGGATTTTGTATGGTGGGGTGTATCATGAATCAGTTGTATGCATTGTGTGACTTAGCAAGGCACATGTTTGCTGCCTGACTGATCCCCAGACAGAAAGCATATCCCTGTTTAGGTCCAGAGTGCAAACAAGCTACCCTACCATGGTTTGTATCAACCTTAAAACGGTAACTACCATGGAATAGTGCATATACACGATTTCCAAAGAATCACTGCATGGTACAACTGATCTCACTGAATTCGCACATCTTAGTGCAACAGTAGTTAACGAATATTATTATTTTTAACCTCAGCTATATATTTTTTTTAAATACACAAACATCCTTAAACAAACATTAAAAGCGTTTAAGTTTTTTTCTCCATCTCACTCGCAGAAAGCATTCAATTATTCATTATAGAATCACTAGTGCTAACGTTTATCAAGATCAAAATAACTGCTCTCTCACTCACATAATGAATAAATAAGCATAACACATTTTTCCAATATAACGGATAATTCAAAAAAATAAGTTACAAGTTGGTAAGCCGTTCACTAAAACCAATAACCGAAACCGAAATTTTTTTATTGTTTATTTTCAGAGTACTTATTTGTTTTTTTTATATATAGATTGTTTGAAAAATGTTAAATGTCACACTGCAGACGAGGCACTAAACCATTATTTTTTTATACAGAATAAGTCTTCTTAGATAGTATCTGTAATTAGTATGTTCATGCTTGGGGTTTAACTCTTCACCTAGGAAAAGAATTGCAATGATAGTGTACTGAAAATACAAAAGCATTGTAATACCACCAAATCATAATACGTCACATCCAGTTTCATACGATAAAGGGCAGAAAAAAATATTCCCTTAAATTTGACAGTTGTATGAAATTAACCCTGCTTTTCATTGTAGAAACAATCATGCATATCTTGAGTGTTTCATAGCACCATCCTTTTTTTATTTGGTATTTCTATCAAATATTTTGAAAACTTGAGGTGATATGTTTACTAAAGCTTGTAAAAAGAAAAAAAGGGGTGAAAATTTGATTGGTTAACTTCCAGTGATGGTTGGTAACTTATATGCAATTAAATGTTTTATGAAATTTTCACTTTAGTACTGGACAGAATAAAAATTTACTCCTGCCATGGGTTTCTTTATTTGAAACAAAGATTAGTTCTGCACTGTTTTCTTCAAAACACAAGTAAGTGCTTCCCTTACCTTGAGCAGAACTATAGCTTCTGTTAACTGTGAGAGTATCATTTTAGTCAGTTGATGAATAAGGAACTGGAGTAATATTAGTAACTTTACAGGCATTT